GGACACCACTAAAATGTCCGGGGTCCTCGGTGCCATCTTGCATAGCTTTTTCGATGCTCTGCCTTCGTTGCCTGAGGTCTTATTGGGGCAAATCAGCCATGCCAACTCATTCCCGACGGCCGCCGCGCCCACCACCACGGCCTTTTCCTCTTCGGGGGGAACCCACCACTGTCCCTATGACATCATCCCATGAACTACTAGACCATTTTCAGAAGTAAGCTCTAGGCATGGCAGTGCATAGCCGCCAGTGCGCCATATCGTATTTTGCCAGCAGAACATTTCATGAAATTAGTATATGTGTACTTTATTCACTAGAAATTGATAAAAATTAATAGTGTGGAAAATGACACTATAGAAGTTGATATTGTAGGAATTGAGAAATTATAGACAAGAATAGTCGGCCGTAGTCTGGTGGTCTTCTCAGGTAGTCCTCTCCGATAGTCTTTTTATGTCTTTTTAGTGGTCTTTTTTAGTAGTCTGCTTCGGTGGTCTTTTAGATATCTAGGTAGTCATATAGATATTTTCTCCCCCTTCTTACTTTATTAGGCAGATAGTAGAAAAGGGCCAAAAAAGGCTTAAGCTACAAAAATTTTCATATATCCTTTACAAAAATTAAGATATTGTACAAATTAATTACTAGAATTTGTACGAAGGAGGTAATAGTAAATCAGCAGTGTTTAAAGCAGTCAAGATTTAATATGGAAAAATACGATATGGCGCACTAGCGGCTATGCACTGCCGTAGCTCTAGGCTCCAATCTCTAGCTGGAAAAGGACCTTCCACACAAAGATTGCCGTTAATGACTTTATTTGCTACAATATGCGAACAGTGGTATTCGGAGTGAAGCGGAAATAGAAGAAAAGCACAAAGCTTATCAGCTTGCTGAGGATCATCATCGGTTGCAGCATGGCATAAACAAACATCGCGAAAGGGTTGTTCCATAATGAATACAAAAGACGAGGTAGAACGGTGCTACTTGCGGGGTTGTGAAAAGGCACCCGGGACAGGAGGAATATCAAGCGCCATCTTCAGCGGCCAGTGGCCCCGATTCCGAGGCCGACGCTGTGGGCTCTGTCGCAGCAGGTGCATCGCTCGCCTCAGGAGGTACATAATACGGGAGCCCTTCCTCGCCAGCATCTAGACGCAGGAGGAATGTCTCCCAGAGCTCAATCAACTGTAGCTAGGGTCAGCTGCATGAAATCAACACGCAAGAGTTGGAAAGAACTTACCTCTTTCTGAGCCTCGACTGCACTTTCAAGGAAGGTTTCCACGCCAGACTTGAAGTCTTCCACCTTCTCCTTCTCAAACCGTTGTAGCTCGTTCCGCATAAGCCGGCCCATATCCTCGAAAAGAAGCCGCGTTTGGTGCACTTTGCGCTCTGCATCTGCGACATCGGCATTGACTTGGTTCAACCGGTCTTGCTGAGTCTTTCCTTGACGCAGTAGCTTGTCTTGGTTATTCTTGCGCTTCTGTAGGTCGGACTCTGCTGCATGCCAGGTGTGGAAAGCCTTTTGACGCTGCGTGAAAGCCATCTTCACACTTCCAATTAAACGGATATATTCATCGATCGTGATTCCAAGCGTCAGAACATCCTGCTGCGCCTGTCGGTCATAAAGTTCCCGAATGCGCAGTTGAAGTTCTGACAGGCCTTCCAATGGATTGGAGAGGGCGGGAGACAGCTCGACGGCAGATAAGGCATGCAACGAGCTCGAAAAGTCGCCTGCGGCTTCGGCTAGTCCCTTTCGTTGTAGAACGACGGTGTCCATTGATTTCAATAGAGCCTTCAGCTGGTTCTCCAATGCATCCAAGTACACTTTTCGGTCGTGGAACCACTATCTACATGTGAGCAGGCGGTACCGATGTATCAGAAGCGATTCACTTACGTCGTCGTGTTCCACAAATTTGGTCCCTCCACCAACGGAAATACCGAAGGAGCTCAGCATTCCCTTGCTTGGGCCAATATCGGGCTCTCGATTTTCCTTATTCTTAACATCAACGGTGAAAGCTTCACTTTCCAGGAAGATTTTCAGATCACCATCATGTTGAAGAATAGGATGACCGGCAATCTTGTTAAGCATTCGTTCCAAAGCAGCTCTCCTCGATTCTACGAAGTTGGTATCGAACCGGCCAACTGCTTGCTTCTCGGGCGGAGGCGCAACAACTACTCCCGGGTTGCTGCTGTGCAGGGAGTTGTAGAGCCAGAGGAAATCACGGTATCGACGGCTAACGGTGAACTCGGGTTGGCGATAGGCCTTAGATGTTGTCTAGCCATAACAATCACTGTCAGCTTCTCCTTTTCCAATCTGTAGGTTTCATGTCCGTGTAGTCCCATTACCTTTGTCGAAACTTGATAAACAATGTGACTACTTGTCAGGTCTCCCACTTTGTGCGGATCTCCGACGTAGATCTGGAAAGTCGGCTTCGCAGCCTGCTCCACGCTCATGCTAGGCTGCGTCTGTCTTTTCGGACCATCCGGTTGCGCCGGCAACTGCACGGGAGGGGGTCCTCGGAAGATCGCGCTCTCCTCTTCCACATTGGCCGAGTCCGCTGTCCCCACTCCGCTGGATGCTTGGGAGGGAGAGGAGAGTGGTCGCGCGCCACGTCCGGCGAAAGGCTCCTTCTGGGGCGGTGCCGGTGCCTCATCTGTGGGTGTTGGGGTGGCCTCGGCGGGCGCTTCTCCCAATGGACCGAGAGGGTCGACGGAATCATCGACGGATTCGAGTTTAGTGGCTTGTGCGCTGATCTTGCGTGTCCCTCGGGGGCCTCTTCTTCCTGCCACGCGGACAGCGGGCGAGCTGTCTGCCGCGGGGGTTTGTGCGGCTGCTGTATGGTAGAGTGCGCTTAGTGAGAGGTCGTGGAAAGAGCATATAAGCCAAATAGAACATACCATCTCCCTGAGTGCTGGGTTTGGACGAGCCATCGCTAGGCTTGAACTGTGAAGGCTCATCTGCATCATAAATCAGACCGCGATTCAAAGAGCTATGGTATCATGACTGCCTACCGCCCCACGGGGAATCTCCAGAGTCGAGATCCATTGTTACTGGTATGGGATCGAAGCGAAGAGAAGGCGATAATGGTGAGAAGATGAATCAACAAATTAATATTAATGTTCAATCCGAGCTTAGAGGGTGCGGTATGGACTTGGAGAGTGAGCTGGTTGGAGTGGAGGCCGATCCGCATCCTTAGTCACTCACGGGATCTGGGCAGCTCCCGGAGTCCACCTCTTTGACTTGTTCAACTACTCTTTGCCATTGGCACTGCTTTTGCTATTTGTTTATAACCATGACGAATCCAGTCCACTCATTGCCAACCACTACCTGATAATCTCTGCCCAGCCAGTAACTAGCATGTTCTAAGTGTCCCATGTCGTAATACGTCATATCATTTCAACTGGAGCTCCTTAATGTCGGGGTAATCTATCCACGATTTTCCCAGCTCAAATCACCATCGGCATAAAATAGGTTATGAAAAACCGCGCAGTATCTATTTGACCCACGGAAGGCCCAGCTTGTGCATTTCCACAGCCAGCTGGAAGATGTAATCCAGACTCTCACACTGAGTCTTCGCCTTGGCAGTGTTATCACCCCAGACGTAACTGCAGGAGGAACCAGCATTAGCATAGGCATCAGTATCGCATGGAGTGAGGTTCTATCACTTACATTCCGTGTCTCCGGACAAGCACCGCGTATGTGTCCGGGTACTTGTTCATGGCTGCCTCCAAACCGCTGGTGAGGTCCTCTTCGAAGGCGGTATTTTCGATAATGGGGATCTTCAAAGTATCGAAGAACCCGAGCATGCCCTTTCCTTTGCCGCGGGGAATTCCCTTGATCTGCTCGATGTTGTTGATCTCGAAGCAAGCATCCGGGCCCTTCTCCCGTTCCACCAACAGAGTGACTAGAACCGCCCATTGTGAGTGAGTGTGGATGCAGCAGCCAGCACCCTGCTCAAAGGCAGTCAGGAATAGTGGGGTACAGGCGGAGGGGTTGAGCTTGAGGGGCTTGCGGATGTAGTTGCGGTCCGAGGCAGGATATTTGGGGGTGGGCCATTGGAGTACGAAGATGTTGTGAGGCTGCATCAATTCCTTCTGAACTCCAGACGGGGCGATAAAGATGTGGTCACCTTGACGGATCGAGGTCTACTGTTGTATCAGCGGGGCACCGTTGCAATTTTTTTTCTCCTCGCAAGTATAAGCTTACACCACCTCCAGTGCCGGTAACCCATCCCCAGTTGTAGAATTTGCGACAGAGCTCGGGAATAAGGTTGGCCGGGTGCTCAGGGTCCTCAGACTGGACCAAGTGGTCATTGTTATTCGTTGCGACGATTTGGTCTGCGGGGCACATGATGGGCTGCGACAAATTAGCGTAGGTAAAGGTAGATAATTCCAAAGTTGGGGAGAGGACCTAAGATTGCAACCAATTTTGTTATCGTCCAGGTAAGGTATGAGGTTGTTTTTCGCCGAGAGTGTCGAGGAGCCAATGGACGTTTGAGGGGGAAAGAGTAATTGGGGAGATCTGCACTGGATGCATTTGGGACATTCACCCTGAATTATCCATGGATATTCGTCCCTCTTAGGTGAAAATTCTACATAACCAGTTAACTAGCTGTAAGATAAAATGTATTAATAATCTCTAATCTGGAATTGAAATAGCTCTTATACTTACAGCTTGAATAACAACAAAAATAAAATACTTGAACATGTAGTAGCCCTGCCCAGGAGGACCTCGGGAGGGTAGTGGCGCATTATATAAGCAATTCCTTCCGAAGAGGAGCTTGTCCAAGTCACAGTCCTTCCGGAAATCGGTGCTCACTCTTCCTTCATGAGACACCACAAATCCAGACTCAGGAGATTTAATTTATACGCTATCCACCCCTATCGAAAAACTTGGAAGACGCGATCCCCCAACTTGATTACCCAGGTAGATTACAAACTCACATAATTTTCAAACTTTCGAAATCCCCTCGATGCAAGCACAGATGAAGCGGAGGGCCTTATTTTCGGATCAAGTACCAGAATGAATCGAAGAAGGTCTCTTAACTGCTGCGGCATCTCCACCTTTTTTGTCTCTTCGTCCAAAGGTAAAATCGCTTATACTTCTGGCACCTCTATTTAAAGATCGCGCAGAATTCACTGCTAGTACGAGGGTATCCGTTTCAGGAGTCGAAATCTCCCAGTAGGGAAAGAGCCGCGGTATCTTTGTCATAGCCCAAACCTCGTTGATCAAAGGATGGGGGCTGTCCCATGCTCCCAACACACCAGGTTTGATCCAGCAAAGTAGCATCGCGGCAACAGCCCAGACCTGCGATGGCTCAGTGCACGCTTTGCCTAGGAAGACTTCAGGGGCGCGTATAGCATATGGTTGGGCGTTAAGAAGTTCGCCGACCGGAACAACTACATGGTGTTAGTAAAGGCATGTCTCGTACCTACATATATATTAATACTTGCTCACCGAGTCCTAAGTCCCCCACTTTAGTGATAACACGGTCAGTCCGGATACCAGACAGCAGCATATTAGCAGGTTAATAGTCTAGAGTATATAATTAGCAAATGCCAGCTCTTTAAAACCAGGTACTCTACCTGTATTCACATATTTGTAGTCCTCCAGAACAACACGACTTGTGAACGCTGCTCTTAAAAGAGACCTAATAAGGGAGTAGGTACGCATATTAGGATGGTATTCAAGCTCTGCCAGAGTGGTGTCCAACCATTCTAAATCGATAGTGCTGTCGACAATCATATCATATATTTTCCGGAAGCACTCGGCCGAGGCGACACGAGGAAGGCGATAAGTCAGAACCTCAAGTTGCATGTTCTTAGTGGCATTTCCATCACTAGACGACGCTACTTTGATCAAAGCCCTAGATGGCCAAGTTAGCATTAGAGCCTGGATATAGTTAATGCAATACAACGAACCATTCGGGGACTTCGGGGACGACACGGTCACGTGGAACCACCTGGGCCTTAAAAACGGTGGAAATGTGCGTGCTACCCCCCTAAACAGGTTCCAGAATGCGGTAGTTCCAACGAGCGCCTCGAAGAACATGACCACGAGTAAGAGACGACATTTTTCTTGCCAAAGAGCTCCTTGCACCATATAAATTCAGACTGGTCACTGAGTGCATTGAGGCAAATCGAAGAAATCACAATTGTGAGGGTATGTATGGATATAAAAATGCATGCGCATTGGATATACTGATATGTTCACGGGTACTTCTTATGTTGTATCCACTAAATGTACAGTCTATAGTCCGGTATTTGGAATAGACCACTTATGCACCCTATCAGAATGGAATTCGGCTTTTTTCTACACTTCCTCATGCTCTACTTGCTCTTATTCCTTACTTAGTCTTAGAGTATATATTATCCACTATGCGCTATAAACATGGTAAATCTGAGCTATATCGGATTTTTGCTCGGTTCGTGGTAGATGTTTCAATTTTTCCCTAGTTATACGACCGTACGGGCTACCTCGCGCTACCACGTTAGTCCACGGGTCTCGCTTTAGGGCCGCCGGCGGAGCGCAGCCTTAACATGCTTTATGTTGGAATATTTGACTGGCTAATATAATATATTTATTCTAGCTCTTTTATCCACCTCACTTAGAGTGTTGCCGTTACGCGGTGCGTAGTGTTAAGGCTAATAGTAGTTGTGCATATGTGTATGTAGAACAAGATCGAAGCCCGTGTGTACACGCCCTAGTCCCGATTGGGGAGCTTAGTGAAGAGGCCACCTGGACCTTCCCCCCAGCGTTATCCTTTCTATAAAACCACCTCCTCTTTTCTTCACTTTTGGTGCTGCGCGCTCCACTTTCATTCCTTCTACTTGTTGTTTACAATATGCGCTTTAACACTGCGTTGACATCGGCTCTGGTTTCCTCCGCCAGCCTCATGGGCTACGCCCATGCGGAGGAGGAGACTGCGGATACCACTGTCATTGACAGACCTACCTTCACTGTACGCATCTATAGTCACACTCTCTCTACTGCCTCCTGCTAACTCCTGCAAGCCCACCAGCCTCAAAGCTCCATTCCTGGAGCAATTCACAGACGACTGGGAGTCTCGGTGGAAGCCTTCCCACGCGAAGAAGGATGACAAGTCTGACGACGAGTGGGCTTACGTCGGTGAATGGGCAGTCGAGGAGCCCTCCGTCTTCAAGGGTATTGATGGCGACAAGGGTCTGGTCGTGAAGAACGCTGCTGCCCACCACGCCATCTCCGCCAAGTTCCCCAAGAAGATTGACAACAAGGGCAAGACATTGGTGGTTCAGTACGAGGTTAAGCCGCAGAGTGAGTCATGACTTTCTACAATTGTTCGCGCTTTTATTTGCTGACTGGAATTGTCCTGTGTTAGACTCCCTGGTTTGCGGCGGTGCCTACCTTAAGCTTCTCCAGGAGAACAAGAAGCTCCACCAGGACGAGTTCTCCAACGGCACTCCCTATGTCATCATGTTCGGCCCCGACAAGTGCGGTGCCACCAACAAGGTTCACTTCATCTTCCGCCACAAGAACCCCAAGACCGGCGAGTATGAAGAGAAGCACCTTAAGACTCCTCCTGTGGCCCGCACCAACAAGGTCACCTCCCTCTACACCCTGATCGTCAACCCCGATCAGACCTTTGAGATCCTGATCAATGGCGACTCTGCCAAGAAGGGCAGCCTCCTCGAGGACTTCAACCCTCCCGTCAACCCTGAGAAGGAGATTGATGATCCCAAGGACTCTAAGCCTGCCGATTGGGTCGACGAGGTTAAGATCGCCGACCCCGAAGCCACCAAGCCCGCCGACTGGGATGAGGAGGCCCCCTTCGAGATTCTCGATGAGGAGGCTACTCAGCCCGCCGACTGGCTGGAGGATGAGCCCGAGAGCATTCCCGACCCCGAGGCCGAGAAGCCCGAGGATTGGGATGACGAGGAGGATGGAGACTGGCTCGCTCCCACTATCCCAAACCCTAAGTGTGCCGATGTCTCTGGATGTGGCACTTGGACCCGTCCTATGATCAAGAACCCCGAGTACAAGGGCAAGTGGGAGGCCCCTCTCATCGATAACCCTGCCTACAAGGGTGTCTGGGCCCCCCGTAAGATCAAGAACCCCGCCTACTTCGAGGACAAGACCCCATCCAACCTTGAGCCCATGGGCGCTATTGGCTTCGAGATCTGGACTATGCAGAATGACATTCTGTTTGACAACGTCTACGTTGGTCACTCCGTTGAGGATGCTGAGAAGCTCCGCCAGGAGACATTTGATGTCAAGTTCCCCATCGAGGAGGCCGAGGAGGAGGCTACCAAGCCCAAGCCCGAGGTCAACGAAGAGGGTACCACTGTCACCTTCCAGGAGGATCCTGTTACCTTCGTCCGCCAGAAGGTCAACCACTTCGTTGAGCTGGCCAAGGAGGACCCCATCAACGCTGCCAAGACCCTCCCTGAGGTGGCCGGTGGCCTGGGTGCCCTCCTCTTGACCATGATTCTCATCGTTGTCGGTGCCATTGGAGCCAGCAGCCCTGCCGCCCCGGCCGAGAAGAAGGGCAAGCAGCCCGCCGGTGCTCCCAAGGAGAAGAAGGAACAGGCTGTCAGCTCATCCGCTGAGACCAGCAAGGGCGGTGCCACCAAGCGCACCACCCGGTCTTCGGCCGAGTAAATGCGATGATTGGGAAACCAATTATACGCAGAAAAGAATTTTACCCATAAACCCAAACAGCGAAGAGATTTGCATTTAGTTACCGCAGTGATCCCCTTTTTGTTATGTTTCGCTCGATGTAGTAGTCAAAACGTTCATGAAGAACATTGAATGGAGGCCCGATTTGTATACTCCTGTTTATCGCTATTATTATTTCTACTCGGTATTCACTTTATTTCTTTCTCGGAGACAATTTCCTTTGTGCCTTTTAGTAGTGTCGCAACTATGACTCTTTAGCCCGATACGATGGAAGATTGAAGTATGGCTTGAAAGGGAAAAACCTTCCTAATTAATTGACTTCAAAGATTCCTTGCCTACAACGTCGAATACACGAGCACCCGATTAAGCGCCAGTTAGTGTCGGCGATTCGAGTATCACTTGCCAACTTGTCATTGGCTGAAAATGCCGAGATGTTACCTTATCGGGGGCTCCATTTTTGTACAATGTGGGGAACCGTGGCATGCCGGTGACTAAGGCGGTTGACCTCGGGCCTGGGGTAACCTTTGGTATATGATTCCCTGAGGTCCGTTCAACCCCAAATCATCTTTGTATTTCTCTTTCTACTTAATCTGTGATTTATCCTGTCTCTGAATTTTCATTGCTTTTCCCTCTCTTCAATTCATCATGGCTGCTTGTCGGTCGATTGCCCGTTCCATCCCCGCTCTCCGCGCAGTTCCCCGCACGGTATCGGTAACTGCCAGAGCTGCCTCTTCGACCCGATCTCTCACTACTACTTCCCTTGGTAGTTTGGCCTCTCGCAAAGCAACCTTTTCATCTTCATCACTCTCTGCCACTCGCCGCTTGCACGCAACAGCCCAGCGGCTTGTCCCCGCAACAACCTCAGCCGTCTCTACCGCTACTGAATACCCGACAAGCCATCAAAAGATTGCCAATCCAATTGACACTGCTAACTTTATTGACAATGAGTTTGTGGCATCCACGGCATCCACCTGGATTGACCTCCATGATCCTGCCACCAACAACCTGGTCACCCGTGTGCCCCAGAGCACAGATGCGGAGCTAAAAGCCGCTGTGGAGTCGGCCGAGAAGGCCTTCCCCGCTTGGAGAGCTACTAGCATCATGGCCAGGCAGCAGATTATCTTCAAGTTTACTAGCCTCATTCGTGCCCACTGGGACCGATTGGCCGCATCCATTACTCTTGAGCAGGGTAAGACTTTCGCCGATGCCAAGGGTGATGTTCTCCGTGGCCTTCAGGTTGCCGAGACTGCCTGTGGTATCACCACCCAGATGACCGGTGAGGTTTTGGAGGTGGCCAAGGATATGGAGACAAGAAGCTACCGCGAACCGCTCGGTGTCGTGGCCGCTATCTGCCCCTTCAGTAAGTTGCTTATGTCAATACTTTCAGTGCCTCCACATAGATGCTAATTGTCACCAAGACTTCCCTGCCATGATTCCCCTTTGGTGTATTCCGGTCGCTACGGTGACTGGTAACTGCCTGGTCATGAAGCCATCTGAGCGAGACCCTGGTGCTGCGATGATCCTGGCAGAGCTTGCCAAGGAGGCTGGTTTCCCACCGGGTGTGATTAACATCATCCACGGTACCGCTCCCACTGTGGACTTCATTCTTGATGAGCCTGCTATCAAGGCTATCAGCTTCGTTGGCAGCAACCGTGCTGGCGAATATATCTACTCCCGTGGCTCTGCTAATGGCAAGCGCGTGCAAGCCAACCTGGGTGCTAAGAACCATGCCGCCGTCCTGCCTGACGCCAATAAGAACCAGTGTCTTAACGCTATTGTCGGTGCTGCATTTGGTGCTGCTGGTCAGCGCTGTATGGCATTGAGCACTACTGTTATGGTTGGCGAGACTAAGGAGTGGCTGCCTGAGATCGCTGAGCGGGCCAAGGCCCTGAACGTGAACGGTGGCTTTGAGGAGGGTGCTGACCTTGGCCCTGTGATCAGTCCTGAGAGCAAGAAGCGTATTGAGGACTTGATTACTAGCGCCGAGGAAGAGGGTGCGACCATTCTTCTGGATGGCCGTGGGTTTAAGCCCGAGGGCTACCCCAACGGTAACTTTGTAAGTCCTACGATAGAAAATTGTCTACGTCTGTTAACTCGAGCTAATTATGTCTCCGCAGGTTGGCCCAACCATCATCACCAATGTTACCCCCGATATGAAGTGCTACAAGGAGGAGATCTTCGGTCCCGTTCTTGTGTGCCTCAACGTCGAGACCCTTGACGACGCCCTTGACGTTATTAACGCCAACGAATACGGCAATGGTGCCGCTATCTTCACCCGCTCCGGGTCGACCGCCTCCAAATTCCAGAAGGAATGTGAGGCTGGCCAGCTCGGTATCAACGTGCCCATTCCCGTCCCTCTTCCCATGTTCTCTTTCACCGGTAACAAGAAGAGTATTGCTGGTGGTGGTGCCAATACTTTCTACGGCAAGCCCGGCTTGCAGTTCTATACCCAGCAGAAGACTGTGACCAGCCTTTGGAAGAGCGAGGATGCAGTCAGCACCAAGGCCAACGTGGTGATGCCCACTCACTCGTAAATATCTTGGTATCTGCTTCTCTTGCTTTCTTGGTTTTCTTTTAGCCTTATTCACATGATAAAATTTTGTCTTTTCTCGTTAAACAAAACACACGCCTCATGGATCTCAATGAATGTATCTGAACCATATGCTTGTTTTTATATCACAGCATTCATGAACTTGGGCATGGATTACCAGATTAAACAGTACATGAAGCGTTATAAGATATTGATTCTCGGAAATGAAACAATTTCAAAGTCCCCGTACTTCATCTTTCAATGAGCTTATAGCATGTCTATGATGAAGTTCAACACTTCCCCAATACGTACTACCATTAGTCAAAGTCAATTGGTCAGGTTGATGCTATATTGACCTATGGTTTATAGCAAACCAAGAAACTGAAAACCCCCCAAAAAAATACAAAGCCCATACTCAACACACGAGCAAGATCATCTTACTCCTCAGCCTTGCGATCCTTGAAAGCGTAAACAAGTCTAGCAGACGCAACCTTCCCGTCCTTAGTAACAACAACGCGACGAGTATGACGTCTCTCGCCATCAACAGTCTCAAATCCCCAAACCTGCTCAGCAGTCCAACCAGACTCAGTATTTCTCACAAAGCTCTGCAAAAACGCGCCCTCGCCCTCCTCAGCCAGGAATCCCTCACTCTTCGATTGATCAATGAGAGTCTCCCCAGTCAGGAACTTCTGCACCTTAGCATCTTCCTCGGGCGAGCCGACCTTAGTCTGGATCTCGATGACAGGGCGTACAGCACCGTCCTCGCTCTTAGCGGCGGCGATGTGGCGCGAGCGGCCCTGCAGTTTGCCGAAGATGTGGTCGACATGCTCGCGCTCTTGCCAGTCCAGCTTACGCTCTTCCTTGGTGCCTTGGATGCCGCCTGTGATTACTTGCTGCGAGTCGACGTGGATGAGCGCCGGGTTCTCGTCGTCTGCGTACTGTTTGACATAGATTGTCACTGTCGCGTATGAGAGAGCCTTGCGCATGACCCAGCCCATTCCTTGCTGTTTGGATCTGTTAGTTGGTTTGGTGGGTAAGGTTTATATATGGTGTAGCGCAGGGTGGGAATAATAATGATGGTTATGACGGGGACTGTGAATTATGAATTTGTATGACTGGGGGGAAATTATGACAGGGCTAGTGAGAGGCTTGGCTGTTTTATATTGGGGTAACTTGGCGGGGAGGCCGCAGGTTAGGGCTTGGGATGCATACCAAAGTCAGAATAGGGTCTGTTGGGTTAGAGTGGGTTGAGTCCTGTTACAGATGAGTATTCAATTCGATTTGCTTCTTTGGAGCTTGACTTGTTGGGACAGACATACCATCTCCCATTTTCCACTCAGGTTCTGGATAGTAACATCAGCAGGGGCAGCCATCTTGAAGGTCGATGTATATAGTAGGTTGAAGATGGAACGCGGGGATGGTGGGGGGAAGTTGATGAGCCACGAAAAGGTGATTTGGTCAGTTGAAGAGAAACTTGGAACTTCAGGGGTAAGGAAGGAAAGGAAATAACTTCCAAGCGATGTCACTTAATATATAGTCTTGGTCAAGCAATGGGCTTCAAGGCCCCCATTGCGTCAATTGCATGTGGTTGTAACTCAATCCGAGGCTAGAGGTCACATGATCTGCTGACTGTACATGTGATTAAGGAGAGTTCGGTGTTTACTATACTTAAGAGCTCCAATCCAATCATGTCTTTCAATAAGAAATATGCCGGTCTTCCTGATCTGGTAAGAATAGCGGAATACAGGATGTTGATATCCACTAGGATTTCCACTGACTGTGACCCAGGACCCATCCCCAGATATCTATGAAACCCCCGACTTGACCGACGAAGCATCCACCTTACCCGTGAGTTGGCCAATTCCACACCAAAGAGACGCCAGTCGAGCTAATCACTGATCCTGTCCAGACTGCCACTATCCGCACAGACTCCGACCATGATGATGCAGGCTCAAACTCCGACATCGACCGCGAGGGTGTCAACCCGGACCAGGCGCGTATGCACTTCATGGGCGCGGCCGTGGACGCCCGCGACGTCAATTTCTCAGATAGCATTTCCATGAAGCGTCAAGCTTACCGGAGCAAGAGCATGAGCCGCCGCCGTCGGCGGAGACGCGAGGATGGGGTAGAGGAGGTTGGTGATTTGAGTGACAGCGAGGACGAGTCGCTTGAGCGGAGGCTTGCGCGACTGCGGAGGGAGGTCGAAGATCTCAAGGTGGAAATGGCCAACAAGACCGACGGCCCAGAGGCTGGAAATGGATTATCGCAGGGTGCTACAGCAGCTGAAAAGCCAGGAGAGAACCTGGGTGATGGCGTTGCGGAGCTGAGCCGCGCGCTGGACAATCTGCACGCCTCGCGAGGTGCGGCGAGCTCATCGCACTCGGCTGCGGCTTTACTGTCGCAGAAACTTGGGCCCGAGACTCCCTCTACCACAGACGCAAAGACACAGTCCTCGGCCGATGCATCAAAGGCAGTCTCCACAGTGCCGGCCCCAACTGCCTCTTCGACAGGGATCCTCTCTCACGCAGCAGCATTCGACAGCCGCCTAGCGCTTCTTGAAAGCTCCATCGGTATATCAAGTTCATCCAACCCCTTCATCGCCGACGGCGTCAACGAGTCAACGTCGCACCCAGTCCTCCCAGCTCTGGACCAGCTCACCTCCCGCCTCTCAGCACTCACCGGACTTCTCGTTGGCACGAGCCCAGCGTCCGCAGCTCCAGGAGTATCCAATGCCGCGCCAGGCATGACAACCACACACCTGGAAGCTCTCTCCACGCGAGTCCGAAAGTTGACCACCGACGCCGAGGCGCTCACCGCAGCGCGCAGGAAAGCCTTCGAGGCCGCAAAGGCCGTTCACAACGCCCGGCTAGCAAGTTCCGACACCGATGTCGTCCCTGCACTAGAAGCATCGACCGACGATGACCATGCCGCCAAGATCCAAGCCCTCTACACCACCCTCCCAACCATCCAGTCCCTGCACCCGCTGCTCCCGAGCGTCCTGGAACGTCTGCGCTCTCTGCGCGCCTGCCATGCCGGTGCAGCCCGCGCCGCGGACTCGCTCAACGAGCTCGAAAAGCGCCACGCCGAGATGGCGTCGGAGATCGAGCAGTGGCGCGAAGGTCTGACGACCGTCGAAGAGAAGATGCAACAGGGTGAAGCTGCTCTCCGCTCTAACGTGGAGACTGTAGAGCCCTGGGTGCGTGATTTAGAGTCTCGTCTGGCGCGTCTGGAAGGTCCTGCGGCAATGTGATCCATTTCTTGTGTCTACTTTTTTGATCTGCTCCGGGGCAGAGGTTTGACGAATAATACCCAGTTTGCATGTATGTCGAATGTTGAGGGCATATTGTAGTTATCTTCAATTGTTAATATCAGTTCCATACCAGATGGCCCTGTTGGTTTTTATATGAAACCTTACTACATTGTAATACAAGCGTAGACAGACTAACAGACTACAATCTACCCCCTTTATTCACCCGCCTCAGCACTTGAACCCTCGGTTTCATCTTAACCTCAACCCACCATCCACGCAACAAAGTATCCCTCACATACTTGCGCAGACCCTCAAACAAATCAACAGCACGCGCACCCGCAACAGCACGAATAACACGGCGCTCAGTAGTCCCCGTAGCAGGAGTCCCAGGCCTCAAAACCGAAATCCCTGCAAAGGAATCTACTACAAGCACCCTCTCCCATTCGGAGGCAGGGAGTACACGCCGGAGACTCGTCTCATCAGCATCCATGAAGCCGGCCTCTTCATCCGCCTCGACAACGACATAGTCAAACCGGTCCCAGAACCCACTAGTGGATTTAACGGCCTTGTCTTCGGTTTTGTCGTATATCCATCGCGACGAAGGGGGTTGTTGCAAGAAGCGTGTTACACCCGTTTGGCAGGCGAAGTTACCTAGGTAGACATTGATAGGAGCGCTGGTCTTATCATCCAAGTCCGTATCGTGAAGCATAGAGTGTTGATAGTGCATAGCATCGAGAGCCTGACCACCAGGGTAATTTGCCCCCGAAGCAGGAAGAAGAACAAAATTCGACAGACAGAACACGGCGAGTGTGGAGATGGCCAGGGCGCGTGATGCCAGACGGGCGAAAACGGAGCGCGAGCGATGCGTCCAGAGATATGCGGCACCGAGGGCGGCTACTGCCGTGAGGGAAGGGATGATGTAGACGATAAAGCGCCATTCCTTGTGTGGCTGGAAGCTATACAGGGCGACGAACGACAGTGCCGGGATTAGAAGTGCCAGTGCAGGAGATCGTGTGGCTGGTTGTCGTAGGGCGACGGGGATGGCGATGAGGTAGGAGAGGGGATTGAAGAGTAGGCGGGGGAGGGAGTTTAGGAAATAGAATGACCATGGCTCTGTGCCCCATTCTGAGGATTGGCCTGCCAGGACGTTGAAGCGGAAGGCTTCGAACTCCGGCCAGAGTGGGAAGCGTTGCCAGAATGTGCCGTCGAGATAGATTGTGAGGGTGAGGCCGGTTGTGAGGCCTATTAGGCCTGCGATGACGGTATGTTGGAGGTTGATCCGTCTTGTCGCTAGTAGAAAGAGAGTCTGAGTTCCAACTAGGAGGGCTAGTTCGGAGCGGAAGATTACGCCTGCCGTGGTGAGAAGGGCAAGTGCTAGGCTGCATTGCTTTTGATCTTGGAATGTTGGACTGGGGCTTGGGAGAAGCAGGCACATAGCTAGCGTTGTAATGCTGAAGGCAAACATGTTTGATAGTGGCCTTGAGGCATAGAATACCAAGTGGAACTGGCTGGCTTGGAATAGGATATACCAGATAGCTGCCGGCTGGCCGAAGCTACGGCGCAGGCCTCTTGCATAGAATACTAGAGAGGAGGCATTGAATAGGCCTAGTATAGCTCGAGCTGGTTGCTGATGTTAGCTTGGTTGAACGTATAGTATAAATACATGGCCTACCTAATATCTGTTGGTTGATCCCCTCATTCAACCAGATCACGGGCTTCGAGAGCATGGCGAGGGCCGCAGCACCAATGGCGCTCCGGGGAACAGCCCCCGGGAAGGAGAAATGGTCATAGTCAGCGCGGTTGAGATTCAGGTCATTAAAGCCATTTGGTAGCCCGTTGGCCAAGATATCATGTACGGCCTGGACGTGGAACGACTCCTCCACTTTGGTGTATGGAGCGACGAGCAGATGGAGGAGGATCAAGACTGGGAAGAGAAGAGCGAGAATCGCATATGCTAAAAAAAAATCAGTTAGTTTATCAGCTTGATGTTCTTATATAGAACGAACGGACGAACTATATCCCATGGTGACTGCATCCGAGAAGAGTGTTGATCTAGAGATCTGGCGCCTCCCGCACTTCACCTTTTAAACATCCTCAACCCGCAAAGATGTTTTTCTTCGGTCTTGGGAAGCTGTTTTATGGTATGTACCTGTTATCCTCATTCTTCAGCTTGTACTAAAATCCTAACTCCCAGTCATCATCCTCATCATTAATGCCATCGCCGTCCTCTCTGAGGACCGCTTCTTAGCTCGCGGTATGTCCCTCCCCAAACTACACCCCGTCCAGACGATAAGAACCTAACGGATGCTGTGAATATACAGTCGGATGGGGTCGCACACAAGCCGAGCCGGGCTTCGGCGCGACATACGATAGCACAAGCGTGAAAGCCAAGTCCGTCAACCTGATCGCCAGTGTGCGGACCGTGATGCGAAGTACGTTTCCCAACCCCCCCGCAGCCCAATATAACCAGGGCAGTCTTGCATCTTGGATTTGAGTGATGGCTTCCAGTCTTGAATAAGTCGCAAGCTGCTCTGCTCTTATAAAACGAGACACTCCAACCATGGCCCGACGGAATAGCTAACACATCCACAATCCAGTACCCCTTATCGTCATCAACACGGTCATCGTCGTCTACGAGCTGATTCTTGGTTAAATTCGCTTTTTCACCATTTCCTCCGCGCTCCGATTCTCTTACGGATCCGTTGCGACCCAGCCGAGAGCTACCCTGCTGTCTGCCAACCTACATAG